AGTGGAAAATTTTCCCACTTAATACCATGCTTAAAGATAATAAGAACTGCGTTATTTAAAACATTTGATACTACTTCAGATGAAAACTAAATATTTCATTGCGTGTTCAGGTCAATTATATGCGCCTGCTTTTATGGTCGCTACCTTCTAAAAATTATAAATATTAGCAATATAAATTCTGTAGTGAAATCGGCAAATGCGCTGTTAGATTTGACCTAAATTACAGACATAAAGTATTCATCATTAAAAATAATTAAATTATAAATTAAAAATCTGGACCTTTTCAGATTTTATATTACGCCCAAACTGACGTTTTTAACGTTTTGTGTGTTACCTTTATTTATTAAATATCATGTTCTTCCCACTTCAACCATAAAATTCAGTTCAACAGCAATATTGCAAAAATGAGCATTAGCTTTAGAATTTCCGATACACAGTCTCGCGAGCTGGAAATAAAAAATTTTTTCGCACTGTGTTGCCATTGCTCGCTTTGAAATCTTTGAGTTTGTTAATCAAAAATTCGTTAAAGTGTTACAAAATATGAAATCGATAATAAAGCAAATTCAAAATTAGGGCTTCCAGATGTCCATATTCGGTGAAAGATTACGTTATTCAGGTACCGTTGTTTGATCATAATGCGAGAAACATGCATGCATTTATGCAGATTCTTCATTATTTAATTTCTTTAAATATAACACAATAAATAAAGACTATTTGGTGGCAACAATTTGAAAAGTGAACCGACATTTTTAGTGAACGAACGTAAAATGCCGAAACGAAATTAATACCCCTTCTGGGCTAAAGCCATTTGGGCTAATAAATACAGAATATCTTATATGTGCTAAATAGCATTAAATTTTCGCATCTGCCTTTTTCTATTTATTTAAAATTTTGTTTTGTTTAACGCACACCTTTTTTCTTAGCTTCAGACTTATATTTTTAAGCATCATATAAACTTAGCATCCTAGAGGTATAAACTAAACAAAGAAATCACTCACGAACTCGTAACATATTTTGTCATTGAGTGTAAACTGCATAGCAAACAATTAAATTTAAAAGGTAAGAATGACTTCAAAATTTACACCAAATCGATGGAAAACATGTTTATTTTATACTGAGTTCAGACAGGTTGCCCCCAGAGACCTTTTATATGACACATCTTTGGTGATTGAAAATCTATCCGGTTACGAGAAAATGATCGAGCAGCCACTAAACTATGAAACTTATTTATGCACGCTCGATGTCTAAAACATGTCGAGGTATATATTAGATTAGATTTCCCTAAGGACCAGGGCGGTGCCAGTAGTAGGCAAACGCCCTTAAGCCATCAAGGCACCGCTGTTATTGTTCAGCTACATTGCAGTATCTTTCTGTAATCCATATGTTGATGTGTCCGAGTTTCACTATGAAATAGAAAAAGTACACTTTTAACTCGTAAATTTGTAAAGTATCTGTATAGCATTGGAGAATTATACAAGTGATATTGAAATTCTTATACGTAAAAATTAAAATGGTACTTATTTATATTGAATAACATTGTAGATTTGAAATGCTATTTTAATGTAAAAAGTATGCACGCGGTTTAATCATTGCGGCGCAAAACTCAATGGCTATTAGCTTCGCATGAGATGCTTTTGCAGAGGAATTTCAAAGTAAATTAGTTAGTATTTATGATATTGATGAGGGAAGTCTGAAACCACCTATCCTGTTCAGTTACCCCGGCATACATACCAAACCAGACGAAACCGTTATCATTCAATCATCGTACACCCTCAGTCACTGGTAGGCTGAACAGTAAGGTATTCTGTTTGTAATAAATAAATGTGACTAACTATTTAATTAACCTATTGTACAAGTAACTCACCGCTCACTTTTAGATGTTACCTCGATTGTTACCTCGCCTTTCTTTAAGCCATGCTCTGGACACAAAAACAACTAAAAAGGTTTAAGCTAACATAAATCTTTATTACTTGTAGCTTGTGGGAGTTAAAATAATGCAAGACAAATTTATTACCTCTGGTGATCACCGGCTTGATAGAAATTTGCATTATGTCATCTGGGTTCCAACTCCAGTAAATTCCTGCGAAGCTGAAAATCTAACTGAGTTGGACAGCCAAAGCATAACTTTCAACATTTAACAGTCCTGACAACGTCAGGTGTTCTTTATCTACTTGTATCAGGAATTCTCTTTTTGGGCAAGCAGCAACGACAGGAACCAAATCTTCTATGAATCATGCCGGTTATTTTACTTTTGTTTTTCAACCTATGCTGCTTGCCATAAAGTCTGCATAACCTTCTGGGTCGAGCGAATTTGGGACAAAACGAGGCATAAAGGAAAGATTAATATAAAGCTAAGTGTTAGTAAAACTTAAAAAGTCCCAACTTGCCCCTTCTTGGGAAATACTTTGACATAAAGTCAATAAGCGGCTGTATGAAAAGTTTAATCCTAATTCTCACGTAAGTCTCACCCAGGTCGTAACTCCGTTACAAGTTTAAAAGAAGATCCATTTAAGAGCTATAATTAGGAACTGTACAGGAGTATACATAAATGCTCAGATTACAACTTAAATAAGAGGGTTTACCTTTAAACTGAACACCCTATACTAAATGTTATGCAAATAAAAATGGATATAAAATGCATTTCTCAAATTTATCGTTTAACTTAATTCAGGATAAAAAAAAGATATATTTATATGCACTTAAAATATGTGAAAAACAATATCAAACATGAAAACAACAAAAAGAGTGTTCCCGGGTTAGATAAATTTTAAATACATTAAAAAATTTAAATCTTAGTTTAGTGTTTGCTAAAAGAGATGCATATCGTTATGATTTCATTAATTGGAAAACTGTAACCTTTGCTTGGCAATGATTTCAAATTAAGATGGCAAATGCACTTGACTATAAACATTTGATGTTGGCAAATGATGTTGACTATAAACCTGTAAACGATTTTATATAGTGCCAAATGTTAAATTTTTAGCATTTTTAGAAAATTCAGAATGTTTAAAAACGCATCTTCAGTGGGTGGTCCTAAATTCTTAATCCTAACCTAAGATACTAATCAAATACTTTCAAAATTCTACACATTTTGTCACTAAAAGCTTATGGTAAAAATGCATGAAACTTGACTATTCATATGAGTTCCATAGGAAAAGTGTTAGCGATAAGAAAAAATACTTATCCATAGTCGAAGTAGTCAATCGAAATAATTTAACCTCAGGGCAATCGAACTTATCCAAGGTATCATCAGATTAGGTTTCCGTAGACAGTATACAAATATGTCTAAAGATAGGTATGCATATTATGTTTTCGAATGCAGATTGCATATTTATAAAAGATTGGTTATAGTTCATTGAACCATTTATATAAAAAGTAATAATTTCAAATTCCATTCGTAGAAATGCTAGTTTGCATCTATTTAGATATCTGAAACCAATATTTCGCGCTCGTTTATAGGGTGAAAAAGACTTAAGCCTCGTGATTTTGATAACATTTATTAGTTGTAAAGATTATGTTAATTTTATTAACAGTTAAATTTTAAGTTCTTTTCCTGTCAAATTCTTAACTTCAATTTACTACTTCTAGTCAGAACGTAGTTTTGGAATCTTGCTGAATATTTAATGAGGATCGGTATTTAAACCACGAAGTCACTTACAGAGTCAGAGAGAATCAGAGTTTCTGATTTATGCGCGTCTGTCTTTTTGGCCACTCTCTCTCTTAAAGCTGTTAGTACGCTCGGCCGTACTCAGGCCCTTGCTAAGCTTCGTAGTCAAATAAGTTAAGGGGCCAGCTCGATTTGAATTTTGATAGCTTCGGCTATATTTCTTTAGTTAATCTTAGTTTTAGTTTAATTCTTAGTCTCTTAAGTTCTAGCCCAAGTGTCGGCTTTGTTTCTACACTCCAAGGCGGAGTTTTGTTAAATCTTATTGGAATAATAAAGGGTTAGTTACCCTTCTATCTTGTTGTTTCTTGTCAACCGAACTTAAGCGATTATTCGCTATCTAGTTCTTAAGACTTGTCACTTTCTACAGTAACTGAGATTTACACAGTGAAAGTCTTACATAGTGATAAGATTGTATTCCACAGGATTGTTCCGTACCCCCTCTAAAGTACTTTTTATCGAAATAAGGAAAACACTGCACAGAAATATTCATTATAGAAGATTAGCATAAAAATTTAATTACGGAAACTATTACCAAGAGGTGGATGTAACTCTTCTAATTTGAAGGTCTGCATTTTTTTATTAACTTCTTTACTGGGAATCATAGTCTTACGATCAAATGCTCAAGATATATTCAACTGTTCAAGATATTTTTAACATCGCATTTATTTAATAAATAAGTATTTTAAAATATTCAAGTGTTTAATTCTCTGTCTCCTGTCGGGCTGGTTCACACTCCGAGATGCCCCAAAGTCAAGTATTTAATTCTATGTATAACATACTTTCCAATAAATAAATATAGTTAGTTCTATATTATAAAAAAAAGCATAATGACATCTAAGTAGTTCAAGAAACCTATTATTGTTGCAATTAATTAGTTTCATACAATAATATAATTCATTTTAATTATTTTGATACAATAATATAATTTTCATACAATTTTGTTTTCGTTGTATATATTTACAACAAAAAAATGAGTTTAGTCGAAAAATTTTTGTTTTTGCTCTGAATTGTGATTCATACTTTTAATATGAATAGAGAGATGCGAATTTTTTAGCAATAATGTAGGGTGCCTAGCACCGATGAATTTCGTTTGAATCTCCTTACAACAAAATTGCACAAACTGTATCACCCATGATAATTTTTCAGTTTCTCAACTTCCATTTTTAAGGATTTCAAAGATCTATATTTATGCTCATTAAAAAAAATCGTAATTTGTATTAAATGAGCACATGTTATCTCTAGTTAAAGTTGTAAGCACGCGAGACACAGAATGAAATTTATCATATGTCAATGCTTATCTCCCATATAATTGTGTCCCTTTTCTTTTTCTCAGGTTTTGTTCCTTTCCGCAGAGGTTCATGATGGATGTAAAATACAAGATCCAAATTTTTCCAGAATAATTTCTGATGTCGACTGATATTAAAAGATGTTCTAAGTGCTGATGCGTCCAGTGAGCTTGGGAAGAATTAAGATGGGTAAGCAGAACGCAGCCCGCAGTACCAAGTCCACCAACCAGTATCGAATTCCCATACCCCTAGAACCTCTTAAAGATGGTCATAGCATGGATCCCAAGGAAAAAACCTTTTTGGAAGCTGCAGAAAGAGGTGACAAACCGACAATGGTTAGATGCTTGCAGAAACCAAATCCTGTGAACGTTAACTGCACTAATATCTTGGGACGTAGTGCCATACAAATCGCAGTTGACAACGAAAATGTAGAAATCGTCGAGCTGCTGTTACAGCAAGAAAGTGTAAAAATCGGAGATGCCTTGCTGTACGCCATAAGAGAAGGAGTATATAAGATAGTGGAGATGCTCATCAACCACCCTAGCATTACTAGTGAGATGCTTGCCAATGATTGGGCGAAAACTCGACAGCCTGGTGAAGAAAGCTCCGATTATTCCCCAGATATATCACCTATCATCCTCGCAGCCCACTGCAACCAGTTTGAAATTCTCCAATTGTTGTTGTCAAGAGGAGCAGTAATCGAAAAGCCTCATCCTCTTTCTTGTTCCTGTCAAAAATGTCATGAAGGTATGCATACAGATAGTTTGCGCTATTCCTTGAGACGTATTCACACTTACAGAGCTCTTGCGAGTCCTGCCTGGATGTCTCTGACAAGTGAAGATCCCATTTTAACGGCATTCAAGGCAAGTAATTCTTGTTTATGATAAATTCATGCAAATTTTTCATATTTTTGGGAGCATGGGATGAATTCAGATCAGAGATATATCTTTTTGTGAAATGCGATTTATGATTCTTTTCATCATTTTAAAATACTGTTTCTGTAGTCATAAAAAATGAATATAAAAGCTATTTTAATTTATAATTTGTAACAGATTAGCGAATGCAAATGAGAAAAACAAATTTTAATTAAAAAAATATTTTTTAATTTATTCGAAAAACTTATTGAGGAATGAATATAATTTCGTTTAGAAAGCTTTTTTCTATTAGTTATATGGAATAACTGTTTCTTTCGCAATATATAAATCATTTTTATCGTAAATAATTTTCTTTCTTTAGCATTACTAAAGTAAAATTCTTTAGCATACTAAAGTAAAATTCGTTAGCATTACTAAAGTAAAATTCTTTAGCATTACTAAAGTAAAATTCTTTAGCATTACTAAAGTAAAAGTTAAAATTTCAGAAGCATTTTTATATTTACAAAACATAATTCAATAAGCGCTACTAGATTTAGTTTCTGGGTTGAGTATACTCATGAAAGCGAGATTTCAACCACCGAAGAATTTCTGCTTGAGAAATATCTTGATAATTCAAGTACATGTGAAGCTGTATTAAGGAGTTTTAAGCATAAAGTTTTACTTAAACTTCTCCTGAAAGTAAAGAAAGTAATAGCAGATTTCTCAAGCGCCTCAGTTATTTATTTTTGACTAAAAGAATTGAAAGAAAGCATGGAAGCAAAGAAATTATAAATTCACTTAAATTTTGTACGTTCGATTTATAAAAATATATTAATCCAGTAAAAATACAGAGGTATGTCCTTGCTTCTTTTTAAATCATTTGAAAAATATATATAATATATATATATATATATATATATACGAAATCGTAAGGCCTTATGTAGACAAATAGTATATAATAAAATACACATACATGGTACAGTACTACAAGACACTGGCAACGAATCACTAGAATCATTGCTAACAACTTATTGCCATGTCATCTTACATTTTAAATTTCCATTTGGCGTCTGCAGATAAAAGTTAAGTGCAAATGAAAAACAAAAGTTAATATGAACAAGATAAAGTGCCTGAATACCCTAAATGTGTGTTTTTCAACTTTAAGATATACGGAACAAGGAAAATAAAGCTATTAAGTGAACGCAGTTAAAATGAAAAAATATAAATTAATTTTAGGATTTTATACCATTAGATTGAGCATTTTATTCTAAATAAGTTGCTACCAATCTTTTAACTGTCCAATCATTATTTATCAAGATACAAAAGATAATAATGGTTTAAATCCATGATTTTCGGTTAACTATTCTACACCAACTGCCATGTCAGTTTGTTTACGCTTCGATATTATTCTTAATTCATCACAACTTACATGCAGTGACTTGCAGAAGCCTAAAATCTAGCAATATATTAACTGTAGTTATCGTTCAACTTAGATTGCTAACATCGTGAAGAATATTAGTATTTGCTTACAATTCTTCCAAAAACTCATTTATTTTATATGGATTTTGTTCATTATGTCAGTCACACAAAGGTGTTTGTGACAGGAATATCTTTGCGAGCACTTGTGATCAATCGATCCGGTAGCTCTCCTTAGATGTTTATGACAAAATCAAAGGATACGAAACCCTTGAATTTCATCCTCTAGCATGCTTTCGGTCAAATTTATGATGAAACTAAGCAGATAGCCCTCGTTTGATTTGTCTTAATCAAATAATCCAATACATTAGCTCTTGTTTCCGCTCGAAAGGTTCTGTAGGAAATCCCTTAAGAAATGCCTTAAATGGGTTTGATTCTTCTTCGTATTATATGAATTTTTACGGCTGAAATATGTGTTTGAATTTCGATTTTTGATGAAAATGGTTGTCTACATCATTTTAATTCGTTGAGTTCCCTTCTTCGTCATTTTTTCTCTTTTTGTTTCATGTACTCACATGTGAAGGTTGGTTTCAAAGGAGTCCTACGCTTTCCATCTACAAATCAGTGCTCAAAGCAAATACTAATTATGTATGAAAAATCAATGGGCAGGCAATTTTAAGTCTTTTTCAAGCGTATGCTATTTACTGCACTTCTTCTGTTTAGTATTTACTGCATTGGTAAACTGTTTACTGCAGTTCTGCTATTTATCGAAACTTAATTTACAAAAGCCTTGCAGTTGTAGTTTCAGTAATAAACTTGATTTAATATTCACTAAGCCCATTAGTTAAAAATTTGCAAAGCAAATCTTCTAAAATGTTGAACTTCTTAACACCGCATATCCGAAATGTATTTAAATAATCAGTTAAACTGATTAAAAGTAGCGTCATAGATAGTGAAAAATTTCCATTCCCTTGGAAATTTGGTTCATTGGATATTGTATTCAGTTACAGAATGTGATAACACTTCTGGATTATTTCTCGAGTGTTGGCTTAGGCGTTTACAAATTTGAAGCAAGACGAAGCACCTCCACACTTTGCATAGCCAATACAATAAAGCTGCAAAAGCACTTCAGTAAGGAAAAGCGTAATTAGTAGTTATTTCAATTTTTTAAACCTCCCTTTGTTTCTTCTTATTCTTGCTCGCTTTGTTTGAACTTGCTTAACTTGTTTGTCAAATATGCTCTCTTAACAATAACCTATGTGACTTTCGATTGCAGGATATTTAACAGTTAACGTGTTTAAAATTGCCAATTCAGGTACACGACAAAATTTTTGATTTGACAGCTCACTCAGCATGAAAGGTATATTCCTTTACACCTATTACGTTCTGTCGCTGAATGCATGGTGTCCTAAACTGTATTGAATTTTTTATGTAAAATAAATGGTCAACACATCAAACGACATCCATTTCATCAAAAGATAAGTGATTTGTTTTTATTTTTTCGAAAATTTTTCATTTATGCAACGAATTAATTTTTCTGCTCTGTACTCCATATACATACACACATAAATGTATATGCACATATGTATATATCAGCCTTTTCGCCATTGCCTTAATTAGTGTATCATTCAAGTTTGCTGCAACTGATGAAATTCTGACACATATTTAAAGATAAACTATATAATGAATATTATACTCAATTTATATATACTGAGTGATTATAATTATAATGGCAGAGAGATATCAGGGCAGTTTTTCAAATGGATTCGAGTAAAATTTCATATGTGAAACACGGAAGCCATAGAAGAAAGATTTATGAAAAATGAAAACAGAGTTCGATAATCCCTAAGTAGAGTACTAAACCTACGCGAAGCCTTGAGCTTGAGGGGAAGAACATCAAGATCATTTCTGAGTCTCATATCGGATAAAGGACTGATATGGATCCCTCAGCAACATTACTTCAGTAATAAACTGAATTATTGGTGAAGTCAAACAACAAGAATCAGCGAAATATTTGTAAATTCTTACAGGACTAGTTTCAATGGTTTAGTTAAAGAGCCATTTCTCTCAACTGCCTAAGTGCAAATGAACGAGATAAAACAATGTGATAATATAAGAATGGCTGGAAAGAAGTTAAGCTACTTGTGCCATCTATTGATGAAACAAGAAAACTAAAACATGATTTTCTAAAAGGCTTAAGGTAAAGATGGATTGGAATTAGGGTCAGAATTCAGAACAAAGATTTTTTAATCAAAACACGACCGCGGAAGGCCTGTAAGATCGTTTTTTTAGAACGGAAAGATTTTGAAATGTGAAAAGCCTCTTTAAAATCTAATTCACCAATGGAAAATGTTTTTTGAATAATTTTCGCTGCAGAAAAATGGAAAGTGTGATTTTCTGACCAACAGTGCTTACATTGGTCAAACTAAGAGAGCCTTAAAGTTTCGTGTTAAAAAAACATGAAGCATACATTAGGAAAAACGAAACACAGAAAACATCGGTTGCCCAACACTGTTGGTCAGAAAATCCAACTTTCCATTTTTCTACAGCCAAAATTATCCAAAAAACATCTTCCATTGGTGAATTAGATTTTCTAGAGGCGTTTCACATTCAAAAAAAAAAACTTTCTGTTTTAGTTAACGACTCTAATTCCGATGCATCTTTACCTTCAAACTTTAAAGAAATTATGTTTTAGTATGTAACTACTAGTAGCTTAACTTCTTTCCAGTCATTTTTATCTTATCACCTTATCTTATCTCGCTCTTTTGCACTAAGGTAGCTGAAGAAGCTGGTTCTGTAGTTAAACCATCGAAAATAATCCTTCAAAATGTACAAATATTTAAGCTGATTTTTGTTGTTTAACTTCAATAATCATTGTTCGGCATGTTAGTATAGTTTAAAAAATAATATGAAGCCATAGCACGGAAGGCGCTGAAGACAAAAAGGTAGCTGTATTTGGTGACTTCGAAAACTGACGGACAATTATCAAGCAACAGTATACCAAAAAGTGCTATAATTCAAATGCATTCGTAGCTCCAAGCTTATAAATAATAATTTTCAAGTTACGTTCATGCGATCAGTTTCGCTGACTCATTAAAATAAATTCAGAAACATCGCAAAGGTTACGAATTTTCTGTTTACTATTTTTCATGGTATTTTCAAGTATTTTTAAAACATTTGTGATGTTTTGTTACTCAAGAGATATCCAGAACGATAATCTTCTTTAACTGACATTTGGAGGTTTTTAGAAAGGTTAAACAACTTCTAGTTTGACATTTATTGACAAAATGTGATTTCGTAGAAAACGTGATGAATCACTTCATCAGATTCTGAAACAATTTTACCAAGTTAATTACAAATTTCAGTGCAGAATTATGCTGTTTTAGGTACATTATTTGCAAGTAAGATAAAAACACAGAACACACTAAACTTGAAGTTGTAAACAGCTCTGTGCCTAAAAAATTTAAAGCAGTTGAAGAGTTTCCTAACATTTCCGTAAACTTTTATGTAGCAGCCCCATATAACTCAGGCCATCCAGTTTTCGAATTATGTTCCATTATTTTATGCTGTGCTATCAGGACATTTAACACCCG